GCTTATTTTTTCAGCACAACTGCAGATCTCCAGAGCAGACCAAAAAAGCAAAAATAAGAGATCTCCTTTAGAACAACATTGGGATCTGACTAGTGGTTTTGGAAAACCTTCCTGATCCCCAGCATAGACAAGATTGAAGTGGAGAAGATACGCTTGGAGGGGAGGGAGAACTGGCTGCAGTGGGGGACCCTGAGCACCCCCAGATGGAAGCAGTTCTTTGGATGTGTGTGGCAATGATTCATGTTTCAGCCCTGGAAGAAGGGTACCCCACCAAAGGGTGATGATACATTTGCTGTCAGGCAAGTGCTCTTTCATCACTACATGTGATTTAAATTAATCACTTTCTCACATATCCTGAGGCAAACCTGTTCCCAACGTAGAAATGGAGCCTTAAGTCAGGGCCTACCTGCAATAACTGACACCCCTCACTCAAACGGGGATTCGGGACGTACAAGCAAGCAGTGGAGAAAAAAACAACAGGGAATTACAGGTGAGAACTGCTGGTAGAGGTCGCCAGGCTATATTAACCACTTCTGTCTGACAGTAAAACTCAAAGTATCATCATGATTTTCAGGTCAGAGCCTGTGGGGTGGGTTTCTACCTCTTCTGATGTTAACGAAAACAATTCCATTGCACGTAGCTGCCAAATAATCGCTGGAGGTGTATTTTTAATAATAACTGGAAAAAATATAACAGCTCGGATTCAGAAGGGGAAACATCTCATTGTCATTTGATGTAATTCCTGCATTCCCCAAACTTGCACCCCTTGTGTAGACACTATGAGAAGACTGCTTAAAAACAGCCGCCTTGATCCTTGTTCCTGGGGACAGAAACACGATGGCAGACACCAAATGAGATTTGTTAAAACCTGGAAGGTGCATCTCACTTTGCAGCTTGGCCTACTCAGAGCCAAAGGTTTGACCAAAGACCTCCAGTGGTTCCTTTCAACTTAAATAATTCAGTGATTCAAAATGTAAATGTGTTGAGGTATTTTACTTAAATGCAGTTGGAACCAAACTGAGTCCATACATGGACTGGGTCCTTCATCATTAAAGCAGCAGATAACCTCATATTGAGCAGCCTTTCTCTTTTATCCTGTATTTTTTTAAATTCTATTTTGGTGCTGATGCTTAAGTGAGATCAAAGGGGTGTGAGAAACTCCCAGCTTCTCAGAGCTCCAGTATTTCCCCTGCTTGCAGGCCCAGGCTGGCCTGAGTAGAACACAGACTGGAGATGTATTTCATCAGGAAGTCACTGAGACAAAAAAAACATGTCATGATGCCTAGCCAAGTCTGAGACAAGCTAGAACCTCATTCAGCAGTTCTTAAGATTTAATATTTTTTAGAATTGCACAGAGAAAGATTGTTTGTCTTTGTGGGGAACTTTTGGTATTTAAAAAAAATCTACTGTGTAAGGATGAAAAACATGAGGGTTTAATGCTCCCTGTATGAGGAAAATCAGCCCTGACCTGGCTAGAAAACCTCAGCTGAAAGGCCCAGGCGTTATGAAGTCAGCAGATGGACTGACTCCTCACAGGCTATATGGTCCAAGCATTCAGAAAGTCCAAGCAGCTCATCGCTGGGGAGCCATGAGATGGTCGTGGAAGGCACTGGACCAGCTGAGCAGCACTTTTATATTGCAACAAATTGGCAGGCCCTTGCAGACATTTACTAAGGCGTTGTTTTGGACTAGGTCCAGTACCAAAGCCCAGACGCAGTTTTAATCATACAGCATCAGTAAGAAAGCTGTTATTCAGCACGTTGTCCAAACCTCTCCCTGGATGGGACACTGCGGTGAAGGCGAGGAGGAGTTTGGTCTTCTCTGCATGGTAGTATGATAATTGTGATGTATTGGCGTGGCTGACCACACTGCAGCAAGTGAATCTGAAAAAATCTCCCTTTGTACTGCTCTTCCACCAAGGCCCTTGATATTGTAAATACCTAGGTGAGAGCTATCTCATCAATCTGATATACTCATGTCTCATCCATCTGCCCTATACAAAGTCTCTGATCCTTGACCCTGATTTCCTTTCATCACTGCCTGTGCTTACAAGATAGCAGCTATCTCTTTTCAACATTGATCTCTTACACTGCCCATAAAGGGTTTGCTTGCTAACATCTTCAAAATGCTGAAAGGAGACTGGGAGAAACACCGACAAGTTGCAAATGCTCTCCGTATTCTGCAAGAGCAAGACAGTCCTTTTTATTTTTTCCCCAGGCTGCAGGAGTGCAGTTCTGGAAACATCACGTCGGAGCAGGAGGCTCTCATGGTATAAGAAGTCTGAATTCCACAAAAAAAAAGCTCTCATCATTACACGCTTGAGCAGATCCGGGAACAAGAAAAAACTCCGCATGAATATTCTGGCAAGTACCAGAAGGGCAAGATTGATGCTGCCTTCACCCTCCCTGGCTTCTCATCACCCGTGTAATTAACACTCACCAACCCATGATAGATGGGAAATTCAGTGCAAATTTTGAATACTAAACAGGGAGTGTGGGTAGGTGCCTCCTCCTCCTCCAAATTGACCTACTTAAAGGTATTCTCTGATGACCTGGGTAAATAGGAGCTTCTTGAGTCAGAGACAGGATAATGAGGTACGTATCAACAAGCTTTATCGATCTGTACTGCCTGGGTAACCACAAAGCCCTGGTAAAAGCTTCAAATCCCCTCTCCCAGCATGCAGTGGAATCAAGATAAAACTCAAAAGGGATTGTCTGCAGACAGCACCTTCTTTGTTTGTTTAAAGCCCTGATCAGGAATCTGCAAGAGTATTTCAAATGAAGGGAAACAGAGACGTTCAAACCTTCCCATGAGCTGTGCATTAGGAATGGAGTCAGAGGCACAAGACAGGCTGTCAACTAAAGTCCTTGTCTTTAGTGCAGGAAGGGAGATTTCAGGAAGAAGGTGGTTTACCAGGTGGAGTAGGCTCAGCAAGTGTGCAGCGGCTCAGATGGCAGCACAGAGGTGCTGTGCAGATTTTGGATCCAAGCGATGAAACAGAGGGCTTCAGGGTGGCAGCACTGCATACAACTTTGGCTAGCTTTCACTTTTTTTTTTTTTTTTTTTTCCTGCAAATATTTCAGACCAATGCTAAGATCTCAACAGATTTTAAAGTGTAGAAACCTAGAGTGAGTTGATCCAAGACTTCTTCAAAGTGCTCTGTAAGAAAGAACAACAAAAAAGAAGTATTTGTAAACTACAGCAGGAGAGTTGAGAAAGAAGATGCCATAACACATGAGCAGTATAAATGTTCAACTACTAAAACAAACAGTGGAAGATTCTCCATCTTTGGCAATTTCAAATGAAAATGTGGCAATTATCTGGAAGATGCTAGTCAGGCATCTGTCAGATGTCCGTTGTTTGGCCCAAAATAGAACTATACAAGAAACCAGACTTACCTCAAAGCCTACATTACCATCGCTGTTTGATTTCAGTCTGTCTGGGAACTTACAAGGTCTGCAAGCAAGAATTTCTGAGCAATTCTGAAGACACAAGAACATATGAATAGGGAATTAACCCACAGTTCTCCCAGCCCAGTTTCTCCATATGGGTTGTTTATGTGGGGCCCAGACCTTTTCTACAGGCTGTGTCCTAGTGGCAGCACGAGTAAAAATGACAAAGTGTCAAGACTAAATCAAGCTGTTACTGCTCCTCCAAGACATATTTCTACCCTTGGATTTGAATCTTTCTATAGCTGCAGCAAACCATATGAAATGTCTAACAGATGTGAACTTATCAGGGTTCCAGCATCCTTCGTGGAATATGTCCCTTTGTACAAATTACAAAATGCTCCATCTGTGCTAACTGGATTGAAATGTCAGCCCCACAGTTGGTGTAAGCCTAACAGTATTTGTGTTTAACAATTTCACAAATACATTAGATTAGCAATTATCCTGTTCTGGTTTTAAATTCTAATTTCACCTTTTTTCTTACTGCTGCAGGATGCAATATTAATGTACTGTTAAATCAAATACTCCATTAACAGCACCAGAGATAAATATTGAATTAATGGAATAATGCAGGTTAATAGTAGATTCATAGGATAATGCTGGAGAATACTGTGTATGAATTATGCTAGCAGCTGAATCACTGACCCTTGTTGTGCCCTTACTGCAGGTACAATAAAAATAGCCAGAAAAATACTAAGCTATCTGAGATTTAAATATTTACTGCGAGTAGGTAATAGGTCATGGATGTGGACAGATGCTTAGATGAAGCTAGGACAAGCCATAAGCACTGAATTCTTCAGGCTCTGCCTTCCTGCTGAGAAGTAACAGAATCCACTGGTTGCTGCTGCTGTATAAATGCTCATTTTCCACCCCAGAATCCTCTGTCTCCTTCAGCCCTGTCCAGGGCTGAGGCACTTGATTTGTAGTTCCTCACAAAGGCATCTCGTTAAGGCTGCATGAACCTTTTCAAAGCAGTGGCCAATCAAAAAACCCAATCTTTTTAGCAAAAAAAATAACAACTCACACATTCCCTTCAAAAATGGCCCAAAGCAGAGACCTGCTCAAGCCCGGCACAGCCCCACGGTTGCTGGCTGCAGCCAACCTCTCATTGACTTCTGAGCAGCGGGTCTCGCCCCGCGCTAACAAGAGCTGGAGCGAAGGCTGGTCTGCAGCTCTGAGCATGACTGACATGCCAGACAGATTTAATTTCCTGCTTCGACCAGCCAGAGCTCCCCAGCCCATCCGCTTTCTGGTGCTGAGCGACTGGTCGGGCACAGCCCAGCCCTGATGTGCTGGCTTACTAAGGGGACAGCATCGGTCGTGGTGCACGGGACTGTCCCCATCTGCCTGTGACAGAACCCAAGGGCAAGCAGAGTCCACCACCAAATAAAAAGCAAGAAGCCTACCAGGACATTCTTTTTAGCTGTCCCCATGGCTCTGTCCTTAATTTTCTGTTTTGTCAAGTCTGTCTTCTCAGTTCCTATATTTTTATGCATGGCTTCGAGTAGGAAACTCATCCTGAATTTGTTTCTTTTTTCTCTTTTCTTCCAGGAAATGTATGTGTGCAAACTCCCCCTAATTTATGTAAATACGGAGGCGGAAGAGTTTCACTTCATTGTTACAAATTAAAAGTTCCCTGACATTTCCAATTAGCTGGAGAGAAAAGCAACGCAACTATAAATACATCACAAAGCCAGCAAGTCTGCTCTGGCATAAACAGCACGCTCCCATCGCGACACCAAACGGTGAGGCTCCAAGGCGTGCTTGTTGCAGCAGAGATTAATGGCACGGTGGCCGGTTGCCCTGGGAAGGTAAGAGAGAACTTGTGGCAGGGAATGGCTGAAAACATGGACAAAGAAACTACCATTAGTAGTTTCAGCCCAACTCAGTGTTGCCCCTCTTGGCTGATCTGAGGCTTAAGCTGGGGAGAGGAGTATGTTTAGTATATCAGCATGGTGATGTTTGACAGGGTCCTGGCTTCTGCAAGACAGTGTTGGTGAAACGCCCTTTCCTGTGATCTGCAAAGCTGCTGCTGTCAGGGTCAAGCTTGCTGTAAACATCTCTGTCAACAAGACAGGCAACTGCATTGAAGCAAAAAAATGGAGGGAGGTGGATGGAATCCTGAAGTGAGGGCAGGAATAGGAGCACTGTCTTTCCAGAGTAGCCCATCGTCCCTGGTTTATCCCTTCCCTTAAAATCCCATCTGGTCTGCATAGGGAGGCTCCAGAAAAGGATAGAAAGATGGAAACGTCTCCTTTGCCCTGTGGTCTCTCCATACAGGAACCTGTCCTTATCATGGAGGAAAGGCACTATGTGTGGGGGAGAGCCCAAAGGGTAGCACAGTCTGTGACAACCAAACTCTGAAGAAATTTATGTCCCCCTGTCCACCCCAGAATAAAAAGGGTGCAGGAGTCCTGTTGGCACTGCAGGGTGATACACGCTGCAGTTCTCCCTCTGCCCTCTTGCCTGAATGTCTTCTACACTGGATCTGCCCATCTGGCTCTGAGAGTCACAGCTATGGCTGGGGGGGTCCGAGTAAAGTGAGCAACAGGCACAGGCCTTCAGGTGAGCGGTGTAAATCTAATCCTATATGGTGATTTTAACTGCATTTAGACTTTTTGAAGTGGTACTGTGAAACATCTCCTACCTGGCTGCCTGGCTTGGAGCTCTCTCTGCCTTCCCCTGGGCGTTAGGATGCTGAGGAATGGGCACTGCAGTGCTTGGCATCGCCTCCCAACGCTCCTTCAAATGCAATCCCACCATGGAAATGTGCAGAGGTGATGTTCACACCCTCCCAGGTCGTTTCACAGCGGAGGGCACCCTGGCTTTTGGTGGTGGATGTCTAAAATTCCAGCGACATCATTTCCCATTTTACAAATTCATCAGGCTGCAGACACAGTCGGGTACAATGTGTTCAGACATCTAGCGCAAGGAAAACTAATAATAATACTGATACTTTTTATTGGCTTCACACACCATAGCTTGTACTTCTCCTCCCCAGGGCCAGATAAAAGTTTTGTGGTGTTGTTTAAGAAAAAGCCCATTTTGGCAACATAGCTGGCAGAAATATTGAGAGCTTCATTTCTTCCCCTTCCCCCTCTCTTCCTCCTCTTGTAATCTTTGATAAGGAAAAAAGTGTTCTCAAAAAAAGGTATGCTAATTAACAATTAATTCTTTTATCTTATAGTGCCGAGACTGTAAGACCTGAAGAAGATGTAGAATAAAATTAGTGGTAATTAGCTTTTTAGAGCATTAAATAAACAGTGACATGAACGATGGAGAATTAATGTTATGCATTTATTTTTAACAATATTTATACAGGCAGTTTTTGAACAAGGCCCTGTGGCATTAGCTTTTACTAATACAGGCAAAACAGCAATGAGAAATAATTACATTTAGTCTGCATTAAGACAGCCCTACGCAAATCAAAGGAATAATGAAGAGAAGCCTGTTAATAGGGTTTTTGGAGACTCTATACTTGAATATAATATTTGGGCTTTGTATTCCTCTGAAGAATTCAGAAATTACCACCCTCCATCATTTCAAGCCACAGGCATGTAACTGCAGTAAATATCAGTGGTACGAACCAGAGCCGCCAGCCAAGGTGCAGGTTTCCAAGGTGGTGATTTGGGCTCTGCTGTTTCCTTCAAGACTCCCTCACAGGAACCAGTGGGCAGAGAAGGCTGCTCGGCTGCATCTCCCACGGCTCCTCCACAGCCCAGCCACAGCCTTGCAAAATGGGGCATAACTCAATGTTTCTCTCTCCAACCCCTGTTGGAACACCTAAGTGAGGTGTCCTGATTTCCAGAAAGGTTCGTGCTGTCCCATGTCGATGAAACGTGCAGAAAGGCTCAGGATCGTGTATTTCAGCACTGACAAAACCATTTTTCTGACTGAATGTATTTATTCTTTGGTACTGCTATTTTGGTCTTTTGGGGCACCTCTGGGAGCTGGTCTTCACCCAGATAACCCCCTTGGCGTGTGCTAACTGCCATCCAAACCACTTCATTAGTGAGCCCTCTGCATCCACATGCTCCACTTTCCAGGCTCGTTGACACAGATGAAGTCTCCCTCATCCGGACATTCGTAACACTCAGGCAGCAAGGGACAGAGAAAACAAAAATCTGGCTTCTAATCAGCTGAAACACCCACGGATCATCCATCTTCTGTTATCGCTCCAGCAAATGTAGGAGAAGAAAATGGGAAGATATGTAAAACCTTGTTTGTGTTACACAGTTTTACTGCTAATAGGGTGTGCTAATTAAGAAAGGAGCCTTAGCAGATGAATCCTTGAAACAGTTTTTAATTAACACTCTCTCCAAAGTCAGAATTGGGGGGGGAGAGAGAGGAACAGGGGGAAGGGTCCTCCTCGGGCTCCCCCAGCCCAGCGCCCGCTGTGCGTGCTGACTCCCAGCCTGCTTCAAAAGCGCCTGTTTTAATTACAGGAGAGAAGGCATCAGTGACAGTCTTCAATCAGGCATTTAATGAATAGCTGACAGGGCGCTTAATGCAATCAGTCCATTGTCGTTTCAATGAAATGACAGCAGGATGTATATTAATATCGCAGCGTTCATCCCAGAGATCCGGCCGGGAATGCTGAAACCTCCCATCAAGGTTTTGCAGGGCTGGGTCACCGCTCTCTGCTCTCTATCAGGTGTAAATCACAGTCGTGCCAGCTCTCTAGCCTGTGGGTGACCCACACCACGGCAGGGACGCCCCTGGGGGACTGTGGCTGTGGGTGACCAGCATTTGAGTGGAGGAAAACCAGTAACAAGCAAAGAGCAGCATCAACCCCCACTGCCTACAGGCTTAATGGGGTGGGGGGGAGAGGGGGAAAGCGTTTGGTTTTAGCTGAGCCCTGGGGAATGGGAGTTAATGTGTTTTCTTAAGTGTTTTTTGATTGCCTTCTCTCTTTTTTTTTTTTTTTTCCCCTCAATACCCAAATCAGGCATCAGAAGTTGGTGTTAATTGGCAAGAAATTAAATTAAGCAAAAATTCCCCAAGTTGAGACTGTTTTGCCTGCAGCACGCTGACGCGGAGCATGTGCTGGGCTGTTGCTGTGTCCTCCACCCCACACAGTCCTGTCTTCCCTTGGTTCTCAGCTCACATACGGAGGGTGGGAGCTGGTTGTTACCACTCTATTTACCCATTTGCTCCTTTGGTTCACATGCTGGGAACATTCGTGGGCTCCAGGGTTTGCCCGTACAGATTGGATTAGAAGGTAGTGATTAAGGTTGTAATGTCTGACAGTAGTTTCTGTACATAATCACACCTTCTAAAGCTGATCACTCCTGTTAGCGTTTAACTCCATGATGTAACCATCGGTCTGTGTGCTGTTGGTAGTGAAAAGGTCCAACTACCAACACCCCCCACCCCATCGCCTTCGGTAACCCCATCCAAAGACCATAGCAGGAACCAAGTCTGCATTATATCATTCCTTCCTGCGAGCAGGGAAACCAAGAGCTTAAAATAAACAGAACTTTCTTGGGATGGAAAAACAACAAAATAAGAACTCAGGGTGACTGCATTTATATGTTAACAATCCTCATCAAGACATTTCTCCACTCTCCTTTTCTTGGAGGGGAAATTTTATTCCCTGATGGACAGCCTGGAAGATGATGATACTCCCCTTGCAGAATGATTGCAAGGTAGACAATGACAGGTCAAACCTTTGCCAGTCTCTTGACAACACTAATGGGACTGCCAAGAGGGCACAAGAGTGTTATTTTCTCTCCACAGTCCATTCAGAGCCGGCCTTCCTGTGGAGACAGCCCCAGAGCCCTAGTTAGGCTTTAGTGGTTATGATGACTGTGGTGTGGCTGCTTGTCCTTTATCTTCAGACCCACCTGTCTCACTCCCATCTGGATCATTTGGTGGTAATTACAGTCCTGTGACCTGTTAGGCTCCTGCGACATATAAAGACCGATTCCTTCCGACAAGATAGAGGTCACAAAACACTCAAATCATGTTCATTTATGGGATCATTCAGGGAAACAGAGCTGTAGGTGAGGCTCAGAGGTATCACAAATAGAAATCAGATGGCAAAAGCAGGCAGCTAGAGAAGCCTCTTCTTAGAAGAAATGCTGAGAGAATTACTGGGTGTCACTCAGGTCCTTGAACTTAATCAACTCTGTATTTTTTTAGCAGCCACAGCCTGAGGAGGAGAAATTTAAATGCTGTGTCCAGTCCTGATCTTGAACAGCCATATTTAGCAATATTTGATAAAAGTTGCTGTGGAGAGACTGAAAACCACTGTGCTCCCACACACAGGTCAGACTGAAAGACTCCTTCTGAGAGTAAAATGTTTCCTGAACCCTTGATCCCTTCCTTGATCCCTCTCTACAGAAGTTTTTAATTTCTCTTACTACATTTTTCTGATTTACTTTCTTCCTGCATATTTAAGTTTATTTCCTATCTCCCACCTGCAGCTGAGCGGCTGCACTTCTGCCAAGGCCGAACATAAAATTAGGAAAGGAGAGATCAGCTGATAAGCAGTTGCTGTTCATTATGGGAAATTACAGCTTTCATGTCATGATAAACGCCTGTCAGCTCCAAACCAGAGACCTGTTGCATCCAAATACCTTGCCTAAGTGGGTGGATAGTCTTAAATGCACTCCAAACCATTCCTCTTTCTAGCAGCAATTGCTGCTGCTGTTCTCGGTGTCTGGGGACAGACAGTGGCACAGGGAGGGCGGGCAGGACACGCTCTCCTCTGCTCTGCTTCCCCTGCGACCGCCAGTGCCTGCTATGGCAGCACCAAGAGGTGACTTTCTCTAAACCACCACAGCACATTCACCAGTGAACAGCAACCACCCCGAGGTTCGTCCTCATCCAGGGGAGCAAAATTTTCGTTGCAGAGATGGAAGATGGCCACTGAATTGAATACAGTGGGCAAGTTCTGGAAGGTGCACTGCCTTTCCAAGGCTGAACGTGCATGCTGCTCCTAATAGCTCTGCCAGAAGCATTTCTGTCACTAGGCTTTGGTTTGTGTTACAAAGGGTGTCCCCTTTTACAGGCATGGCAAATGGAGGCAAGAGGCACATGAAGCAGCCTGAGAACACTAGATTAGGGAAAAATGAGTGATGTAACCCAAGCCCCGGAGTCCCATTCTGTGTCCAAGTACTAAAAGGGCTTTGCCATCCTTGCCTCTTTCATTTATTACCAGTGTATTGTGTTCCTGCAAGAGAGTCCTATTTCAGAAGAATCATCCATCTGAAGACAATCACCTCTGTTGGGGTCTCCCAGGCCATTGTCCATCCTAATGCAGAAGTTATACTCTGGCAGGCCAAGACGATGCTTTCCATTGAAAGGGCTCAAACCAATGAATTTCTGATTAAGACTAAACTGTGATGCATGAAAGTTTTGCTTGTGTTTGTTTCCCAAGGACTCCTCAGTTGTTTTCCCTGGCCCTCTTTGTCTAGACAAAAGTAAAACGCTCCCTGTATAACTCACTGATGGCAGACTCAGAGCCTTCGGTGGGCATTTGGGCAAACTAAGGTGAGGGAAACTCCAACAGGTCACAGAGGTACCATCTAGGGAGGATGATCTCACCGATTTAGGAAGAAGACACCTGGACTTCACAGCACATGCTCTGGAAAGAGCAGACACCATGAAGAAGACCATGTACTTTATCCCTCGACCACCAAAAACCCTCACTCGTTTTTACTACATGTGCTTGGACTATGTAAATTAATTCTGGGAACTTGTGATCATGACACACCTTTCCAGGAAATCTAATGAATATGTATGATCTGTGTGTATGTAAACTAATGTCCCTTGCTAGTTCTTGGCAGTCCTTATGGTGGAGGATCCCCAGGGTGACCCCAGTGCTGCTGATAAAGAATCTCTGCGTAACAGTTCTGTTGGACTCTGACTGTTGAGTTCACTTCTCTGTTTCACCATGGACCAGTTCAAAGCAAAGGTGGCAGGAGTGATGGTATGGTTGCATGCCCCATGAGTACTTGAGTTCTAAGGTTTATTTAGAACACCTGTGCCTTATATCCTGTGCCACTGCATCTGAGAGGAGGGCAGTGACCAGTTTATATAGTCAAACATGCTTACTTGCGATATCCTACCCTCCATCACAGTTTACATCAAGCTGCGCTGTAAGAGGGATGGAAACTGCCACCTTGTCAGGGCATTTTTCCTGCCCTCTTGTAACAAAAGAGCTTTTGAATGTCAGAGAGTTTGAATGTCAGAGCTTTTGAATGTCAGATCTTTTGAATGTCTCTTGTAAGAATTTCATAATCAGAACAATGTTGTTGGCCGATTTTACAAAGAGGAAGACACCTGTGGAGAGCTGGGGAAAATCACTGGTTTAGGTGTTTGGATGTCACATCTAGCACGAAGCCTCACAGCTTTTCCACCCCCACTCAGGGATTTTTGCCAAACCGCATTTTTGGGCTTCTCACAGTTCCTGTTTTATACGAGGGATGAGAGGGACCCGCCGGGGAGGAGTGGGTACCAGTGCTGTAGATATTCATCAAGGAACAACAGGACGTAGAGCACAAATTAGGTAACTCCAAATTTCATACAACCTGTATCAGCAATGGAGCAAAATCGCATGAGCTCCAAAGTACCCAGCTCAAATCTGGGGAGGGCTGAACACTGAGGCCACGATTTCTCCCCAGCTATAGAGCATCGCCCCCACTGCAGAGATGCCTGAGGGACAGGGACACAGGCACAGCATGGATCATTCACATCTGGCAAGGCTCCCCGCTCTGGACAGACACGCTGCATGCCTGGCTTCCCAGATTTTGGCCAGTGTCTCTTGTTCACACACTGGGGCAGAAATAAACAGAACATTGTCAAAAACAAAGCCCCAGGTGATGTTGGGAAACATCAGTTGCCTCTGACATAATGTAAACCAGCCCAGCATCCCCAGGATGCTTGCCTGTACGTTGTGGAGCTTGCACAGTATTTGAGAGAGAGCAGACAGTATGCCAGGAGGTGTAGCTGTTGCTATGGCTCCCTAATTACCTTCTTCGAGGTTACCATAGAGAAAAGCCCAGAGCTGTCTTTAGAAACAATAGCACTTCAACTTTGTTCACATGGACATTTCAGTTTTTATATAAAACTTTACATGAGCCAGCAACTGAGCCTTCAGCCCACTGCGGAGCAGGCAGGATTTTATCACTGCAGATACTAAACAAGTATTTCAACATTTGTTTCTCTATTTCATAGAGCACTGAAACAACAATATTTTGGGAGGTGGGGTGGGTTGCTTGATTGGCTAGCTAGTGAGTTATTTGTTTTATGAGTTTTATTTTTTTTCCCATTGAGAGGCCAGAAAAGTTGAGAGTTCTATCTGGAAAGAGACAGTAACAGTTTGGATGTTCAGCTGGATAAGGGAGATAAGTCTCTGCTGCAAGGCTCAGTTATAGAAATTCCTGGACCACAGAAGACACAGACTCCAGTGCAGGCATTCAAGAGGTCCTAGGGACCCCCTAGTCTTTTGCCTCAGTCACAGTTAGCTGAAAAGAGAACAGCCTGGTCTTAGATTATGGGGCAGTCAGGCTCTGTTTACTGTTTCTGGCTGAAATAAGAGAGGTATTGTAGGTCCAAGAAATTTTTACTTACAGAAAAGAAAAGATGCATTCCCTTATATAGCTTAGGTTTGAACAAAACCACATTTCCAAACAAGAAGCTGCTTGGAAGAGCCATGGCTTCACCCCACACTATCCACTGCTTTAGAGCTTCTTAGGAGGGCAGGGGATGAGGTAATATATATAAAAGCTGCTTATAGTCATGGCACTGCAAAGTGGCTTTTTTGGTGGAAATATCTTACATCTACTGCACTAAAAATCCTTTTGGATTGCACAAGGGGCATAAACAGTCATAGCACTTAGAAGAGAGAGCCAGGTGCCATCAGTGATCCCTTGGTAATGGGTGGGTTTGTTGTGCAGGTCCTTGGGTAGGAAGGGAATTGAAGATGACACCTGAGACCAGATGACTGTGGTATTTTACAAAAGGCATCTTGGGATGAGTAAGCACTTCACCCGGAGTCAGAGGCTGCCTCCCCACATCGCTGTACCCTTCCATGGGCTGACAAACCCAGGTCCTGAGTTCCAAAACTGTCGTAAAGGTTGGCACCAGGATAAGGTAGTCACGCAGTCTCCATCTCTACACCTCACCACCTCAAGAGAAGGTGGCATGAGTGACCTTGGAAAGTGTTGAGATTGCTCAGCAAGGGACTTTCCTCACAGGTAGGTATTTGCAGCGCCGGCCTCTGGTGCAGACCCGGTTGGTAGAGTCAGCGCTGCCTGGGGGGTGTTTTATCTGTTTTGAAATAGATGTCTACACTGGTTAGAAGAATTGCTCCTCACAGTGCCGGTCTCCCTTCACTGACTTTGAAAGGAGTCTGTAGGGTCTATTTCAGCTGTAGCAGCACACTTCACTGATTTCTAGCTAAGTGAGATGAATCCTATCCTGAAGTTAATTGCTACCTCTAATTCTTTTTTTTTTCTTTTAGTGTCTAAAGTGACTGTGTATCTTAGTGTTGAGGCAAACATGGAAAATTCACCATTTAACCTCGTTAATACCTAAAAAATACCACTGACTCTGGAAACTTTGAGGGACATAGATACGTTTCAGCATTTTGAAAAAAAGCAAGATGAGGGTGGCCACAGAGTTAGCAATGGGCTAAGAATTGAGAAGTGATTCCCACGGGGGATCACCTCCCACAGCTTCCTGCAGAAGGAAATTCAGAAAACTCTCTTTTCTGTTGCAGTGATATACATAACTTTTCACAACACTGTCAGAAAGACAGAGAATGCCATACCCACTTTTTGGCATCAATAATATAATAGTTTATTAATTCTGCAGCAGCAGAAGTTAATTGGCTGGGGATAAATTATGAACGTAGCAGGAGGCAAGGGAGGTCTGTATTCCTCTAGCTCACAATAAATGAAATTGAGTATTATTAATACATAGCAAGATTAAAGCAATTTCCCTCTGATTCATGGCTCCTGCTTTCTCTAAAGACAAATGAGGCAGACAGAATTGTCTGTTTCTGCTTTCAAGTCTCAAGTATTTCCATCAGATTTGCACTTGCTTTCTGTCCTAATGAAGAGAGGACAAACATTTTCTACTACCACCTAAACCCAGCCATAGGTGGTCAGAGTAGAAGGAAACCCACTGGGCAATCATGGCATAGTTTTGTGAAAACTTGCTATAACGTTTTAACTTAGCTGATCCATTTTTCATCTAAGGATAAATAATAAAATTTCTCGTGTTAGCATTTTATATAATCTATTTTTTTTTTTAAATGAGGGAAAAAAAAAAAAAAAAGAAAAAAGCCCTCGATAGGGATCAAGCTGACTTAACGACTGCTAGTGAATAAAAGAGTATTGGTGCTGTTTTACCCAGTGTGCTGGCATTGAAATGCTAAATAACCTGCAAACAAGCGACGGTTCCAAGATGCCCTACTAAGAGAGGTCATTAGCCCTTGCAGAAATAAAAGGAGCAATTCAGTTTGCGAACAGGCTAGAAAAGTTGGAAAACATAAGACCAAGGAGACCACAGGGGAAGCCAAGAAACAACTGCAGAGTCCCCTCTGCCAAAAGGAATGCATCGTATGGGGAGAGACCTTCCTTAAAAAGGGGCAAGGATGACAGCACAGGAGAGGGGCTGGGTTTTCAACAGTGGAAATACGATAAATTATCCAGGTTTCCCAGAATAATCCATGGCTTCTAGAGCAGTGGGAGGTAGTGAGGGACCACTTGCAGATGAAAGCAGATGTGAGGATATCAGGGACTGCTGGTGATTCAGCTAGGTCAATGGTCCTTTTCACCTGGGCTTGATAATAATGCGTTCATTTTGCTCACTATTTGAGAGAGATTATGGACATACTGCCACGAATTAGGTGGCCCTGGTTTAGAGAGCGTGGCAATGTCTCCCCCTAGTAGCCACCCTGGTAATGAAAATTGCCTCTGACTTGCTGTGTTTGAGTAGGTGAATTTTCCATTTCCCCGTTAATAGAGAACACTGGCTTTCACCCTGAGGATATTTGGTTTGATTCATGCTGTCTGTACATCTCCTGTATGGCTCGCTGCACCAATGTATCTCTCACTGCAGTGCATAATAATGCATAGCAGTAGTCCTGGGCACTGAAGGGAAAATGTACATTGTGTGAGGATCCAGCTCCATCTGTCCTGGGCTTACTGTTTTTTACATAAGTAAACGTGAGAACAAGGGAAATGTGAGTCATTCCACTCTGATTCAGAAGCATTTTACACCCTGCCTGCATGAATGGAAATGCCCCAAAAGAGCATCAGACAACAGAAGATCTACCAACCAGCCCACCAGCTATATGAATGCATGTGTCAGGTTCTCTCTCCATGTACTTTTTCGTAATACTTCACCCCAATTTCCTTTTCATAGCTCTGCAATGGCTGGGTGCTCAAAAGCTAGTCATTTTTTCCCCTCAATGATACCAATTGTTCTAATAGAAGCTATTACCTCTCCCTGCAAACCTTGTCTCCATGGAATCCTTAGACCATCATGGTCAAAGCACCACTACCATTTTCCCCTCTTGCACATCCATCTCATTAGCACTCTTCCATCATTCAGGTGCCTCACCACATTGTCCTCCAGAAGACTTCCAACAGCCCTTATCCACAGACCTGTCTGCCCCCACTTTC